TAAAAATTAGAAAAACCTTTAAAAAAATCTTTTAAATATTTTTTTTTTCATTTGAGTTTTAATAACAATGTAAACATTTTTTACGACACTTTTTATTTTTAAGTACCTCATTGATCTTCAGTAAAGAATAAATTATTGTTCATTAATAAGTAACTGTTTCAAGCATTGTTGAATAGATAATTTGTGATATCGTTGTATGTTTATATTGTATGTACGTTTGTAAGCATGTCGAAATTTAGCAATAATAAAAAATAAACGGCATAAATTCCGTATAAAAGTTATTTATACTTTATTATGAACAGTTTGGCAGTTAATTTACGCAAAAAAGTTGTATAGAAATCAAATTTTAAAGTCGAAAAAAGTAAAGAAGTGATTAAGATATAACTTTACGTAACTTTACATTATGTTGTTGTTTGAACAATTTCAAACACAACAGGTTTTAGGAATTTTTATTATCAATTCTTAACAACTTTTTGGTTCTTTTATATTCACTTCTTTATGTCATCTCTTAACTCTTTTATAACCACTTCTTCACGTGATACAATCTTTCTTAATGCTTTAATAACTACTTCTTGATACAATAACACACGTGGTAAAATCTTTTTTAACACTTTTATAACCACATGTTTACGTGATACAATCTTTCTAGCTCTAGTACAGTTAACCTCGCCACTTTCTCAATAACCTAACTAAACAACAGCCTATTGCAAATCATTTTTTAATTGCAAAAAAAAAAAAAAGCTATCGTAATAACATATATCGTAATAATGCATGACGTAAATTTTAGTTCATATTTCTTCACTAGAATTGTATCTTTTTTTTGACACGTCTCCATAATGATTTTCTCTTATTTTTCGCAATGTTATCACCTCATTCAACATGACATGCCAGATTGTTTTCGTTTGACGTCATAGCGAATGGATAAAAACTTAGCAAGATCTTTTTAAAGATCTTTATAAGATTTGTATTTTTTTTCTCATTTATTTTTTAACAAGATCTTAATAAGATCTTAATAAGATTTTAACTAGTTATTCAAAGAAACATTTCTGACAAAACTTATTAGGATACTAATACGTTCTTACTAATTTCTGTACAATAAGAAAGATCTTAATAAGATTTGCAAGTTTCGTTTCTCTGGGGATCCATTATTTTTGCTTTTTTAAATGAAGACGTATTTAGTGAAATTAAAAAAATTGATAAAGTGCTAATTGATAGATTGAATGTTATACTTTGCTGTATCTCCAGCGGTCTGCCTCAAAGTCTGCATGAAGTATTGATACATGGATACATTAAAGTAGAAAAAAAGATATTGCCTTTTGGACTAATGTCAAAGGAAGTACAAGAGGCTTGTTATAAAGATTTTAGGAGTTATCCCAAACACAATGCGAGAAAAGTCGATCAAAATGTAATGAAGATGTAAAAAACGACTGTTGTGCGCTTATGCTCCATTGGCGTCCAGTTTTGTTTTATTCTAAAGCGCGACAAAATTGTTTATGCGTGATTGTGATCACGCATGAATAAATCTGTCGCGCAAAACTTTGATGCTAAAATAATGAAGTTTTTTTTTGAAGAAAAATATGTTAGTTAAAAATCTGTTTCATTTTTCTTTGAAAAACAAAACATAAAAACATTTAGCTTTGACTTTATATAACGATACCATTCCACAGTGGGCCAGAATTCACTTTTACTGGACAAAACTAATAACTCGTCATATAAAAAAGATTTAAGAACCATTTTTGTACTATTTACTAATTTGAGGATTACGGTTTTAATGGCAACATTAGTTTTAATTTTGGGTTGCTATGAATACCTAAATTACTTAGCAACCGCATATTTTAATAACCTTAACAATTATAAATGAAAAAAGTACTGGAAAAAAGTAATAACTTTATTGGATTACTTCCATTGAGTATTTTTATACTACAAACGTAGAGGATTTTTTATTTGGTTGGTAGTGACACCTGAAATGCCTGGCAACGGTTCATTTTGCATAGTAACTAGCTTAAGAAACTTTTCTAAAAACATCAATGTTATATGTTATTATGAATAATTCTAATATATAAGATAAAATATTTATAACAGAGAAATTGTAGAGATTATAAGAATAATTTCTTTAACCACAAATAACAATTTCATTATGAAAGAAAGTACAAAAATTATCGCAAGCTACTTATCAATTCTTACTTAAACATTGCATGATGAATAAAATATAAAAATGATGCGACCCTACCAGGACTCGAACCTGGAATCCCCTGATTCGTAGTCAGATGCCTTATCCATTAAACTAGACTAATATTAAGCGGCAGTCTGATTATAATTTATTTTATACATTAAAAAATTTTAACACATTTCCAATTACTAATTTTAAGTATTTTTATGCATTTCCAGGGCTCTACTTTATATTTTATGAAACCACTACATAATCCATAAAAAAAGGCACCTAAATCTTAAGCCTTTTTGTGTATATTATAATATAAAAATTTTGACTTAAAGTTATTTTTTGAACCAAACCTTATATATTCTGATAATTTTAAAACAGGTTTAGCTTCTTTTTCTTGACTATCTTGCAAACTACAACCTGATGCAAACAATAGTTCTTAAAATGAACATGATGCAACTAATGGGGTCAATCTTTATTTCTTTGTTTTACTACTTAAAGTATCAAAATTCACCTAGGGCCTGCCAGATACACTTAAATAAGATTAAAGTTTTCTTTATCAATGGAAGCAGTTAGTAAAACTTTTTTATTATCAATTACAAATTGAACTAACATTGGTTTATCTTGTAGTCATTGTTTGTTATTCTCTATTAATGAAATTAGACAGGTTATTATTTGTTAAGTTAATTTTATGCCATTTGCAACTCTATTCAAAGTATTAGGATTAGCTAAGTTCAAGTTTTCTTGTATTATATATGAACAAATATCAATATTTTTCAAATTTATATATAAAAATATGAATTTTTTATGTATATTATCAATATAAATTTGGTTTATAATCCACGGACAACCGTGGATTATAAACCAAATTTATATTGATAATATACATACTGAACTATGTATCTCAATTCCTAAATTACTGGGCCGCTTTGGACCGTAAATTCGACTGTATAAGTGAAATTTTAACTAAAAAAAGTACTTATACGCCGTCATTTGAAATCATTTTATTTGACGTGCTAAATAGTGTTTTAATAGCTCATTTGAGAGATAATACTTGATTTTATTAAATTATGCTTTAAAAAGAAAGGTCTTAAAATTAACATCTGTTCCATGCTTATTAGTAACACAAAAAATATTTTCAAATTATAAAAAAAAATTTGGAAAAAATTGTTTTATTAAAAAAAAACTTCATACGTCATAAACATACGTCATGATAATTATTCGAGCTGTACCGAATATTTTTTCTTATACATTATTAACGCATATACCTGTGTTATATCAGTTTTTTCTGGATTTTATTTTTTTAAATTTTGAACACTGATTAATGTAGAATGGCAAGACATGTTTTTTCTTCATAAACACATATAAAACTTTTTAAAAAGTTCAATATCCGGCATATCCGGCAAAAATATCCGGTACACCTCTAAAAAATTATACAAAAGTATATAGATTTTATAAAAGCTGAATGTTTAAGCTATAAAATGGTACATAATAAAGTAATTTTTGAAAATGTATTTTTTTTACTTTTGTCCACCACCTGGCCCACTGTGCATTCTTGTGTGATATGAGTAAGCTCAAATTACCCAGTGTTTTTCATTGAAATTACCTTGTTTAAAATCGTGAAATTGCAGTGGTTTTAATTTTTTTTTGTTTCGATATATAATTTGATCTTTTAATGAAAAGTTTTGTTAAAAAACGAATCGTTAAATTCATTCTTATTGTCAGGATGATATTTTTTTGCTTAACTAATGTTATTTTTGAGCGAATTCAATGTGCTCATATTACCAAGTGGGTAATATATGCACTTTTGCTACTTTTTAAAAATATATATATATATACTTTGGGATTTTAATATAATAAATTTGTTGTAACAATTTTTTAAGTTTTTACATTGCTTGTAGTTCGCTGCAAGACTCTTGTTTTGTTGCGAACCACGAACAATGTAAAAACTTAAAAACAAAACCACGCTTTCAAAATACCTACGGGCAGAGCCGTCCCGAAGAGGTCTTCTACGGGGGAGGGGGGAGGGTGTATGTTTTTTTTTGCCAACTAGAAACACTAAAAAAAAAAAAAAAAAGGTCTTCAATATTTGCAATTTGCCAACTATAGTTCAAAACTTGCTCAATGTGCCAACTGACAGCTTTGGGGGTGGGACACCCCCGACACCCCCCTCCCTTCGGGACGGCCTTGCCTACGGGGTAGTAAATACAATACTACGGGGTAATAAATACAAAGAATAAGCGCCAAGCCATAACTAAAAAATGCCTATTATGCTTATTTTATTATATAAAAATCCAAAAATATTATTATTCAAAAAAAACTATTATGAAAGTGTCGCAATGAGAACTATTTTTTGCTGCATAACCACAAACCATAAGATTTGATTTTTCAAACGCATTTCTCTTTTTACAGAATTATTTTTCTACGAGAAAAATTGATACTTTTTACCTGATGATTGCATTTAACACGTAACTTATAGTTTACTTATGTATATATATATATATATATATATATATATATATATATATATATATATATATATATATATATATATATATATATATATATATATATATATATATATATATATATATATGTATATATATATATATATGTATATATATATATATATATATATATATATATATATATATATATATATATATATATATATATATATATATATATATATGTATATATATATATATATATGTATATATATATATATATATATATATATATATATATATATATATATATATATATATATATATATATATATATATATATATATATATATATATATATATATATATATATATGTATACACATGTATATTTAGGTGTTGTCACGCTGCGAGACGCCACTTGTGCTACCTATACCGTTCGTATTAGCCCCTACGACCCCCCACCATTTAGTGATGGTTTTTTAAAATCTTTAAAACGTTTAAATAGAGCCAGTGAAAGTAGTCAATTGAAGTATTTTGAAAATTTTGTTGAAGAGTTTGGTACACATTATCTTCAACAGACAACAATGGGTGCTAGAACTGCTATTATAAGAAGATATTCTCAAGAAGAATTTAGGAAAAGTACTGATGAGGCAATGCAAAAATGCATCGAAGACCGTTTAAATGTAACGATTGCGGGAATCGGTATTGGCCGCACATCAGATAGTTGCAAAAATGTAGATTTAACGGTAAGTACTGATACTATAAATGAATTTGATAGAGAGTCTGTCACATCTTATGGTTCTAAGCCAGCAGCTAACATTATTGAATGGTCACAGCAAAATTTTGATTCTCCGTTGCCAATTAAGATGCAACTTCGTCCAATAACAGATTTGTTCTCGGAAAAGTATATAAAAAAGGAAATTAAATTTGATTTTCCTAAAATATTAAGTTGGTTCAAACCATTATATTTAAGCTATTGCGAAAAGTTTAAAGTAAGTCTTGGGATTGATAAATGCAATCCAGAAGAAATAAAGCAATGTGGTTGGAGCGATAATTGCATTCCACGGCAAGAAATTTGTGAGAACACAAGTGACAAAAGCTTTACTTGCTGCAGACTGAAATGTCTAGAAAGTGTTTGTAAAAACGGAGGAATATGTCAAGATATTACAGATGATAATAAATGCAACTTTAAATGTATTTGTGGAGAAGGCTGGGAAGGAGATACTTGCGAAATAAAAGTTGCACGATATGAAGAGATAAAGAGACTGATTGAAGCTAAACTCATCTCTACTAGACCTGATGTCCCAAACGAACAACTTGCTAGAATTCTTTATGATGAGTTAAAAGTTTATGATGGTTATAAATTTGTTGTAAATTGCTACAAAGAGTATGATGGATCTGAAACTGGCACTCATGCTGCACTTGGTAACTACGTTCATTTTTATAAAAAAAATGGACGAAACGTTGTTGTTGCATGGGCGAAGGGAAATTCCTTAAACAATCAACAGAGAAGCGAAAAAAACCAAATTGAAAATGATTTGGCTTCATATGTTTATAACTACGTAAGTACTTAAAGTTTTATTTATTTTTTTATTTATAATAGCAAACTTACCTTTAAACTAAAACTGTTTGCGGAACAAAATATATCTCGATTAACCTTTAGTAATTCCCTATAACCTGTATATAAAAAATATATATTTCGGATAAAATGTTCCATTATTGTTAGGTAAATAAATCAATAGAATATATATTTTAATAAAAAACGACGAACACCTGATATAAAAATATAGCGCTTTTGCTTTGTGCTAATTGCCTAAAATTTTAAACTTTATAGTAAAAAGTTTTAAAAAAATGACTAAAGAGCTATCAAACATCACAAAAATATTTTATTTATGCTCAGATATAAACTTGGATAACTAAGATGTATTGATATAACTAAGATATATTGACTCATACCGATCCTTTTTATTAAATTCTGAAAACACAAGTATTCGAAACTTAGGCGGACGTGTATTTTAGACCCCCACCCCCCTCCTTTAGAAGTCCGCAAAAAACGAGTCACGTTTTACGCATAACATTTTACACATAACATTGAAAATTACTCTAACGCTGAACCCGAAAAAAAAGTTTAATTTATTGAAAGCCATTCCAAAACCAAACCTTAAGCCAAACATAAACCAAAACCGGAGCCGAACCCTAAGTTTAAGGGTTGGGGTTTAATTAGGGTATGGTTTTCAACAATACTCGTTTCGTATAAGCGTTTTTTACGGACTTACTAAAGGGGGTACCTGAAATACACGTCCGTTGAAACTTTCAGAATTTAAGTTAAAGGATCGACATGAGTCAATTTATCGTAGTTACAGACCTTATGTGTGTTTTTCCATGCCATGTTAGAAAATTTTATGTTAAATTAGTATGTGTTAGATAACGAGGAATATAAAATTTAATATAAGATTTTTCTTTACATAAATATCTATAAAATTTGCGCTTGATTTGATAATCTTTGAATGTTGCATTTGAACTAAGAAATAACTCTGCATGATTTTATTTGACTTCAGTTAGTTTATATCTTAAATCAGACAAATTTCAATCATCAATAGTTTTAGTAATAAATAGTAAAATTATCAGAAACAATTGTTTTAAAAGTTCTTTCACATTTATCATTTGTTAATTTAAAGCACTATATAAATAATACAACTTAATTTTTTGGTTTTAATCAAAAACATCATTAGCCAAGATTTAACAGTTTTCGATGTTGGTATAAAAAAGGTTTCTAATAACTTTTGAATTAAGCAAAATATCTCGATAACTGAAAAAATTTATTTATGCACGGCTTCCACAGGGTTCGGTCCTCTGTACACCATAACACCACCACCCTCTCAAAACAAAACCGAGACGCGAAAAAAAAAAAGTACAGTTAAGGTACGGTAAATTACTTGGTCGGTGACCTCTAAAACACCAACCTGAAGGGGCCCTAAAACGCTTCAAAAAAGAGCCTAAAGAATATATTTAAAAATGTTGCATTTGCATTAAAGTGAGGACATATTTTTTTCCGAAGAACTACAAAAAAATTAACAAAAAATGCTTTTTTCTATGCTTATATTTACTATTAAAATGTCCCATGGACACTTGTTTATAGCCACGTGTTACCAAAGTAACTAGTCTTCACTCATGAAAAAAATATGTATTTTGTTTATTTATCTAATTAATAAAACTGTTTGACACGGAACCCTTAGCAGCCGTTCCAACCGAGGTAGTGGCGAGAAAGAGTCGCAGCACTTTGTTTTATAAGAAAACGTGAACGAACGTGTATGCAAATATTTAACGTACGTAAATTAAGTAATGTTAAAATATATGTTAAAACATAAACATTTATCAAGTTTTACAGTTTGATTTTCACTTGAAAACTGCATTGCGTCAAGCTTTCCTTTATTTTGATCTTTAAGTAGAAACATTCTGTTGCAAACACTTAACAAGTGATTGCAAAAGTTAAAATAAAAATTAAATTATGAAAAATTAAAATTAAAATTAATAAATCATTTTAATTCTGTTCAAAAAAAAAAATTTCTAAAAAAATAATTTAAGCATATTCTTATACTTATTAAGAATATGCTTAAATTATTATATATTCGATTTATTAAACTAAAGTTTTCTGTTTCACTTTTTATTGGAAAACAATTTGAATAAAAAAATTTAATGAAAACATGAATCTAAAAACCATTTGAATGAAAAACTTAAATTAAAAAACTTAAGGTATTATATTAACGTGCTGGTATCGTAAAAAAATACCGACTTAATTGATTTATACAGTAACAAAATTTTAAAATCTAATTTTTATCAAAATAGCGTTTTTAACTTTAGGTAACCATAAAAATTAAAAGTATTAGTTAAAAGTAATGAGCATCTTTTATAACACAAAATCATCTTCTAATAAGTCTTCTTCATATTCGTCGTAATCATCAATACCATCGTCATAAACATCGTCATTAGCAGAAGCATTGTTCTTACACAACCTGTTGTACAGTTACACTTAACGAAGTTTAGCACACTGTCTGGCGCTAGTGGATTGATTAACCATTCAACAGCAATCCCTGCTTCACTAATCAGTCATCCATGGTTTTAGAGATTATCTAAGTTATGCATAGGCTTAGTTGCATTTCGCCATTTGTATGATTGGTAATTAACTCGCCTAATGTGACATCTGAGAGCGTCGGAAGGAGCAGTTCTTCGTCATATATTCAGGACTTAAACAACTGATATCTCATTTCAATCAGAAAATTACAAAGAGATTTTTTTAATACATACAGCAGACGAACTTTTCCTTTTATTATATTAGAAAGTGTTATAAGTGTTAACTACTTATAACACTTTCTAATATAATAAAAGATTCGCTTAATCGACCAAACGTGACAAGAAAATTGGTATGTTCAAAGAGAACCTTAAGGGGTTTGCCTTTGCCTTTTCCCATAAACGAGCTTGTCGTGTCGCAACCCAAAAGAAGTATTACAGATAGCATATAAAATAATTTCATAACTTAAAGACACTGATAGACTGTTTAATTTTTGCACTTTGACATTTAAAAACATGTGAATAATTATTTTTTATATTGTGAAACACTAGATATATACAATATCTGTTTCATGGCATTAAACTAAAAATTGACCGTTTAGTCGTATAAATGGCTTAGGTTCAAAGCCTTATGATTTTGATTTGAAATATCTCGTTGTGTACTTTCTTAATAGTTATATATAATCATTAAGAAACCCACATAATCACTTGACTAAAAATAATAAGTACCTGTAAATGTATGGAAACCAATAAAAGTCTGACACCAATTTTTGTTCCAATGTTGTCTGACAGTACTTAACGAGATAATCCTTCTTTCATTTCCAATGCCAGTTAGAAAGTATAGATACTATCGATAGAAAATGTGTTACTTAAGCTTAATACAAATACATCAGTATCCGGACTTTGAATGATAATATTTTTGAACTCATTGGTGGTGGCGTGTTCAAAGTGAACTAAAAAACGTGTGTCTGCTTCTTCATGGTTGCAGTGCAATGCAGCTACTTCATTCACAACAACAGTTAGTAATGTAGGAACGAATTTATGGCAATATTTACCGTGCGTTTTAAAAATTGAAATTCCCTTAAAAAAAAACTAGGATCAGCAACTTTCCAGCTTTGATATAAAACTTAATTAAATCTTCCTTGTTGCTTCCAACAGACATGTATTTTTTCCATTGTTTTGGAACTTTTTGGTCTGGATTCATAATCTTAATTACCTGGCTTCCGAGAGAAGCTCTTTTGTTCCGTTCTAGATCTTTTATACTGATAGTACAAGGTACACTTTCTAAGTATTATCAAACAATTGAAATTTCAAAATTACATTTGCCATTATCTATGAAGACACTGCATATATTTTTAAAATAAAAGGGAGATTGCATTTTATCTACTTTGAGGCAAAACTTAAATATACCTGGATGGGTTATTGCCAATCGCTTCATTTCTACCCAGTATGAAGAAGCATATCTTGCATAATTTACTCTATCTGTTATAAAAAACAATGGAAGCATTGATCTAACAGCTGATAAATGTAGCACCCAATCCCCAGTGCATGTAGCTCGTATATGTAAAAGCAAAATTTGAATCATATCTATGTAATTATACCAAAAGTGAAATGTTGCATTTTCCCGGCACTGAACATCAACAAAATCTTTGTATCGTAGATACAGACACTAAAACTTTGGACTCTCAACATAATCCTGAAAAATAATTTCTTTATTTTTTAGTTGATTTGATTCATAGTAATGTCTAACAACTCCCATTTATTTTACTTTTATGGGAAACAATAGAAAATATTAACTTTAACAAATATATAGCAATTAAAAATATGTTCAGTATACTAAAATCATCTTAAGTGTTTTACTTTTCAGCTTTAAAATGGAAAGAAAGAAAACCTTAAAATTATCATAATTAAAAATATCATTCTCTTTAACAATACATTCTCTCATTGCAGACACAAACTCAATGAAATCCAAATTTTCATCATTGTTTAATGAATCCAAAAATGATTGAATGCAGAGACGTTGCAACGTTTTATACAATATTTTAATGCAATGCACAGACCGATTGTAATGTTTCCCTGATAAAACACCATTAATGGAACCAGACGTCACAATTCCAGATTCAATAAAGATATCGTAACAAAATTTAACTTATATCTGTACTAAATAATAAAAGTCTTGTCTATTTTAAATTTGTAGTTTTAAATACTCAGCATATTTGCGGTAGTGGTGTAGTGGTAAGAGCGCTCGCTTTGTAAGCGAGAGGTTCGGAGTTCGACTCCCACCATGTCCCTGGAAGTACCGCGCTCAACTTAATTTCTCCGCGCAGCGGCCTTGCTTGTCAAGGTTCGTGTTTCGGAGTTAAAGAGTTGAGAGAGGGTTGTACCACGTTTTACAACAAAAAAATACAGCATCTTTAATAGTATGAAAATAATAATCCCTTTTAACAATAAAAATTTGAAAATCTTATTGGACAGGGCCCAAATCAGTGAGGTT